TTAGGGAGAGCAGTGAGAGGAAGGGAGGAAAGGAAGGGGGACCCAGGTATAGAAAACAGCATGCGTAGTAGCTTGGAGAGGGACAGCATGAGGATTTGGGAACTGCAAGTAATTCCCAAGCAGAGTATGAGGGGGAATTACCAAGAGACAAGACTGGAGACGAAGGAATGGGCTGGATTATAAAGGGCTTTGTGCAATCTGCCAAGATGTATGACCTTTATCCTAACATTCTTCTTTCCCCCTCTGTTTTTTCTTTGCTCAGATAATCAGCAACGTTACAGTCTTGAATTTCCTCCAGAGTCTAGGCTATTTACACACTAAAGAAGAATTGCTGGAGTCAGAGCTTGATGTTTTGAAGTCCCTGAACTTCCAAATTAATCTGCCCACTCCTTTGGCATATGTGGAGATGCTCCTAGAGGTTTTAGGTATCTTATTAAGTGTGTCAGGGAATATGGGTTGGAGACTTCCATAGAAAGCAATACAAAATGTGCACAGGAAGGGGGTGGCAGGTGCAGTGTCTCACACCTGTAATCCCAGCCTTTTGGGAGGCCGAGGCATGTGGATCACTTCAGGCCAGGAGTTCAAGATCAGCCTGGTGAAAGCCCATCTCTACTAAAAATACAAAAATTAGGGCCAGGCACAGTGGCTCACACCTATAATCCCAGCACTTTGGGAGGCTGAGGTGGGTAGATCATGAGGTCAGGAGTTCGAGACTGGCCTGGCCAAGATTGTGAAACCCCCGTCTCTACCAAAAAACATAGAAATTAGCCAGGTGGGCCGGGCATGGTGGCTCAAGCCTGTAATCCCAGCACTTTGGGAGGCCGAGGCGGGTGGATCACGAGGTCAAGAGATCGAGACCACCCTGGTCAACATGGTGAAACCCCGTCTCTACTGAAAATACAAAAAATTAGCTGGGCATGGTGGTGCGTGCCTGTAATCCCAGCTACTCAGGAGGCTGAGGCAGGAGAATTGCCTGAACCCAGGAGGCGGAGGTTGCGGTGAG